GCCTATCAACGCGTTTCTCCATGAACCAACGAAACCGAAGAGGGTGACTAGGAATGAGCAAAACTAGGGGAATCAGAAACCTACATTAAAATAGTATATATGTATATAATCAAAAATGAATCATGAATAACAGGTGATGAAGAAAAACAATACTCGCTTGAAAGGGGAAGTTTGGGGACCGTTGAAAAATGGAGAGGGACTGGGAAGGATGATGAGAGATTTCAAAAAAAGAAAAGAACGCGGTAACAATGATAAAAAGGATGAGGGTGGGGGGGACGCGGGCAATGGGCGCGGCTTGGGAAACAAAGAGCGGAAACAAAACTCAACAAAAATGCACAACTCATACACTCACTTAAAAACATAAAAATGTGTAATAAAACAGTCACTCTCGCGCACACACAGAAAAGGGGCGGGCATAGCAATCAAAGGATCACAATGAGAAAAGAGGAACTTGGATGAAAAGTAACCACAAATGGTACAGAAATGAAGAAATAAAGGAAAAGGATGAGATAATCGATGAAGGAGAAACTTGCGAACTCAATGTGTCAATTTAGAAGTGCAAAACTACCGATAAAGGCAATCTTGCCCTTTCTGGAATCTGGCTCAGGAACTCGTGTGTCAGATGTTAAATACACGAGAACCTAACAAAAAAAGTGAGGTGTGAAAATAATGAGAAGAAGAAAAACTACATGAACATTGTATTTAAACGGCATGCAAAAATGATGCTGCGAGTAACTGGTAGAGAAATAGTGCGTAATCGGGATTTTCAATTTCCAAAGTTCCATCCACCGTTTGGAGCGTCTGGAACGGGAGGAACATCACCTCCGAATTGGTTGGGGGCACCTTCAACATTTCCGGCTTCATCGTCAGAACTGAAAAAAAACACACATGTGAAAGCTTTCTGAATTGAATTTTTACCTGAAGAAGTTGTCGATAATTTCAAACGCAAGTTTGTATATATCTTCGTTTTCATGATTTTGAAGGTTTTCTATCTTGTCAAGTCCTCCGCATTCTTCAATCTCTGAGGTGACCTGCTCGGCAGCTTCACCAGCCATTTTCAAGATGTTGTTTATACCATCAAGAACCACTTGTATGATTTGTGAGTCAGTGCAGCTTAGCATTGCACAGAATGGGCGGAGAACACCGAGCTTGACCATTTGTTCGACTTGATTTGGCCGTCCGGAAATAGTAACATTGGAAATCGCCCAGGCAGCTTCCTTTTGTGTTGGGAAGTCTCCCCGATCAAGCAAATGAATAATCATTGGCATAATTCCGGCATCGAAAACATCCTGCACTTGCTGTTGGTTTCCTGCAGTTATGTTCGAAACGAACCAAACGGCTTCTTTGTTGATCTTTTCCTTGTAATGAGCAAGAAGACCTGGCATGAATCGAAGGACGCCGCTGTCCAAAACGAGCTGAGTCTGTTCATCGGTTCCAGTGACTATGTTTCCAACTGCTCTCAGGGCAGCTGTTTGAACCTTGACATCGACATGACCAAGAAGTGGGACAAGATGAGTGACGACTTGTGCTTCGATAACCATTTGAATGTGTTCGTTTCCTCCATCAGTGAGATAGGAAAGCGCCCAAACGGTATCGATCAGAATATTGGTATCTTGATGATGGATGAGAAGAGAAAGAGCTGGCAAAATTGTTCTAACAACAGCTGGACTTGGGGCCGGATCTTTGCATCTGCACAAGTTGACGATAACCCATGTAACGTTTCTCAGGAAGCCAATAGGGATTTCAGGATTGATGAATTGAAGAAGAGGCTGAAGAATTCCAAGCTCCAAGCAATAATCACGGAAGTGAGGCCCATCTCCAATAATATTTCCAAGCGCCCAGACAGACTGTTCGCAAACATTCAGATTTCCGCATGAAAGGAGTTGAAGGAAAAGAGGAACGGCTCCAGCATTCACAACCGCCTGAGTTTGTTCAGATGTTCCAGATGCGATGTTTGTAAGCGCCCAAGCAGCTTCGAATTGCAAGTTAGGACTGAAAAATATGAATAGAATCATCCCAAGCAAAGATATACTTACTCTGTGCTCGACAGACACTGAACGAGGACTGGCAAAATCCCACTTCCTATCAAATCATCAATTGGTGGATTTCTGTCAGTCGAAAGCATTTTGCGAGCTTGTTGCACAGCGGTCAATTGCTCAGCAGGATCCGTTGATTGAGCGGCAGCAACAGTCAGCCGAAGCAAGTTGGCATCAAAAGGTCCTGGTGGAGTGGTTGAAGTTTCCGAATCATCTCTAGAATTCAAATTTTTGAAATAGAGTCCTAATCGAGTATTTCTGACATCTTGACATGAAACACGTTTCTAAAATGTTTTCCACCCATTCCTGCACACATAAATAGGTTTACAAACATGTTTTTAAAGTCATGTATGGCCCAATGTTTGAAAAATATTCAACTTACTCAATCTGAGCATTGATGTTACGCCGTTTCGAAATTGCTTCCTCTCGTTTGTCTTTTCTAATGGTGACAGCCTGAAAGATTGATTCTCATGAAAAAGATACATGATTTAACGAAGCACCGAAACTCACCTCCTCATTTCTCTTCTCCTTGCCAATTTGCTCCTTGGCGTTGTTTTTATAATAGGCTTGTCTGTTTGAACTCATGTTGCTGAAAAATAATTATATAGTACACGAACAAGATCGGATAATAAAGAAGCTTGGAATCCGCAAACGGAATTGAAGTAAATTTGCAACTGTTACTGAATCCTAAATAGCAACTGAAATCCGCTCAAATAATTCGATAAAGACTATTATTATAGTTTATAGTCAAAAATATACATTTTTATCAGTTAATCGAAAAATTAGCAAGTTTTCGTTGAAAAATGCACAAAAAATAGAAAAATTTGTCGATAATGGCACAAAAATACGAAGCGAGGCGTCGCGGTTGAACCGCGCCGCCTGCAAGAGGGCGCGGTTGCCTTTTCACAAAAAAAGAATTTACTGGAAAAACATAAGAATTTAGAGAGAAAAATGATTGAAAAATGGTTTCAAATCATGTAAATGCAATCTATTGACATAGAGAATATTTTATTAGTAACATAGTTTGGAAGATAATACAATCAGGCCCATATTTAACAAAAAATGATTCTCTACAATATCATCCAAAATTTCTACCGTATTCCTGATTTCAGAAGAGATTGAACACCAACGGATAGCGGAACCTCAAAATTCTTGCAAACCTTTTCTATGAATTCCAAAGTAGGATTTATTAAATATATTCAGTGTAGATTGAGCAAGCTGGATTCCGAATTGTGTTTACAGATTTTTGAGAAACAATTTTAGAGGAATATAATATACAGTCTTGTACAAGGGTCTTCCTGATGGCATGCCACCTTCTAATAGAAAGGTCTTCGAGATATTCTCAAAAAAATGTATTTCAAAACTTTTGATGTATCTACTCTTCCACATGGTGCATCTTCCTAGCAGATGATTGTATGAAAAAGTTGTCAACAACAGAAACAGACTTCGTTATTTGGGTTTTTAGTTGAAAAGCATTAATTGCTTATTCAAATACACAATATTTATTTGTTTTATCTAAAATTGTCATTTTGAATATTTTTTTTCGTCATTACTGTAGTTCGAGATATATCAAAACTTTATTGAAATTTTTTCGGCAAAGAAAAATGAAGTCGAACAATAGAATGCTACTCTCCAATTGAATGCCACTCTTTAATACACCGTTCTCAAAGCTGTGTACTAAAAAATTGAGTGACATTGAATTAATAAAGTGTTTACGGTATTCATGGAGTCTTGTCTTTGTGCTACAAAGTGTCATAAACATTTAAGAAATTAGCAAATGTTTATGTTTCACACGACCACTGCTCATTTTCAACAACCATTGCAAATGCATTTTCCACACACATTATTCATTTTTCTACTAGCTGTTCCATCTTTAATCTACACAACCCAACAGTTTTCAAGGTTTTGCATTGGTAACTTATATGACGCATATACAAAACATTCAGGTGTCCTTCTCTCACACATTTAAGATGTTCTGATGGACTCACTTGTATCAGAAAGTCATGGATGTGTGACGGTAAAATCGACTGTCCGGATCACAGTGATGAACAACATCATATTTGTATGAAACGTAACTCTGTTAATAAACTGGTCAGGAGAAACGCTCTGAAAGTGTCATACTTAATCTATTTTTAAGCAAACACAAGAGATAAATGTTGGATTGAAGTGCCCTCAACCATGGTTTAGATGCGTAGATTCCAGTTCATGCATAGCTCCGCACAAAGTTTGTGACAAATATGAAGACTGCAGGTTTGGCGATTTTTAATTTTGGTTCCTCACAAAGGAACTTTTTTAGAGGTCCGGTGAGAATTGGCTGAAAATTTTTACATATGATTTTGAAAACAATTTCAGCAATATCAAGATCTATCGAAATATATTGTTCCGCTTCGAAAACCTCTGAAATCTATGAAATAAGTATTATTTGACATTTAGAAGGCCAAACTGCAAAGCAAAAATTTGCCTCTAATCTTCCAAGTCGTTTTTCCTAGAGGTTCCGATGGTCCGTCGACAGTCCGTCAACGGTCTGTCGGTTCTCCTTCGGCTGCCGACTAGCAGCATTCGCCTGTTTACGCTCATTAAGCTGTGATCCAAAAGTTTTTCAGCAGTGTCCTTTAACTTGTGGAGTCACTCTTCACATCACTACAGAACTGACAGTTCCCACAGGTTCAGAGGCGTAGAGAAGTTTTCTGATGAGAACGGGAGCTAGATTTTTTTGTCATATATCTCAAACTGTTGGATATATCAAAATATAAGTACTAAAAATTTCAGCGAATTCCCAAAGGAAATTTTAAAAACGTTCCCTTGTCAGTTCGTATTTATTCCAGGGACGGAAGTGATGAACGAGAAAACTGCAATCAATCCCCTCCCAACACTACAGTAATCTACTGATTCTCGTCTTTCGATTCCTTCTAAATATTTTTTGTTTCTTAATAAACCTAATTGCATGTTTCTCTTCTCTTCACTAGTGTCTTTACAAAAACCGTCTGCATTTATTTCTCGTTGCCCGCTGTTTCCGAATGAGGTCAAATGGGATAGGAAGACGAATGGAATACGGCCGTAGAAGCCTATAATGTTGAATTCATCACTTATTAGAATAGCCCTCTTCCTCCACTGATCATTTGTAGATCCTGTACTGTAGTGCCACATCGTAACTTAGAATGAATGGTAATGATGAATTGAAACCAGTCTGAATCAACTGATCAAGAAAAATAAAGATAGCAGCAGAAGCGAACTTTTCAAAGAAACATACACGACCATACCGACACATACATAACATCTCGGATGAAGGAGAGAGGGGGCGTCCCACTTTCGATTTTCACGATGACCGCCGAAGAGAATCACGGATTCTGTCATTCCTTTTTGATATTTCGGCGCTCTTATCACTCCAGTTCCTAGCCCTGATAGCTTCCACTAACAGACGAAAATGCGGCGTCCATCAGTTCTCGTTGGATTCCTCTTGCTCACACTGGTTTCCATTGAGGCCGTTAGTGTGGCAAAGAGTACTGGTAATGACATTGTATTGAAGGTGTCAACTGATAAGGTAAGTTATTTTTTCTTCCGGAATGTTTGATCTTCTCTGGAGGTGTCGATTAGAATTACACTGTGTTTATTCAAATTCAGTAATGCTTTTACCGTATACCTCTAATAGAAGGCCACCAAACTGTAAACTTTGAGCTCAATTATCTCGATTAATATAAAACATATCAAAGTTATGTCAACTGATAAAATATGGGTAATACTATGATAATCAATTTATCAGTTGAAAATTTTTTAATATCTTTCACAGGAACCGAGATAATTAAGCTCAAAGTTGGCGGATTTGGTGGGCTTCTATTAGTAATTACGGTATGTTCATTCATATACTTTCGTTTGTTCTCAAAAACTGTTGAGATGTCAGAAACTATAATAAAAGAGGGTTGAATTCACTTCAAACTTGACGAATGAATTGGGTTCATAGGCATTGTTTAATAACAATGATTACCGTTAGCAGTTTGATATAACGTCCCTTTCAACTTTCAACTTTGGGCTAATTAATTTCGGTTCCTGTAAAAGATAGAAGAAAGTTGTCGATTGACAAAATGTTCATCATAATATCATAAAAATTTTATCAGTTTACCACTTTTTGGTATATTTCAAAAAAGCCGAGATAATTGGCTCAAAGTCAAAAGTTTGGGGTGGCGTTCTATTAAAGTGTTTACAGTATGCAAGTTTTAAGAATACTATTATTTCTCGATCCACTAGATTTCTTCAATTGTCGGGTCTTTTACGATGCACTAGGACGTTTAAAAAGCTAGTCGTCCGGTTAATTTGTTTTTCTTATTCACTCGTTTTCGAAGTAATAAACTTGAATAGGTGACCTGAATTCCTCAATAAACCCATCTCGAAAACATTCTGAATTTTAAGCCAATTTCCTTTTCCAGTTTCTCCAATTGAATTTGCTTTCCAGCACTCATCGCGAGATGGTCATCATTTTTCCGGTGAATGGTTGGAATCTCCATGGGGTGACCTCTATCAATTTCGTGCTGGAGATCAGAACTGGCTGACTGCCCGCGAACACTGTCTATCGTTAAATGCCGATTTGGCAGCCATCCGGAACGTCGAGCAGTTGGTAATCCCTTTTTCTCTTTCGTTTCCCTCTCGTTTCTCTTTTTTAATGTTAAATGACACATGTTCAGGACTGGATCTTATCGCATTACGCTCCTCTTTCATCCCGATTTGCGCAGCGTCTTGTGCAGGTTTGTTCGGATTTATTTTTTTGGGTATCAAGCAAATCCAATCAAGTATTTGCTTTCAGATAGGATTGTATGCTCCAGAAGGTCAAACACATGGATGGAAATGGCTGGATGGAAATGAAATTAACAAGACACTGTAATTATTTTTTATAGAAAGAGAGCTTCTAGAAATAATTATTTTAGGTCATGGAATTCAGGAGAGCCATACGATCATTCCATGGAGGGACGTGAGAGATGCGGACTTTTGAATGTCGAGAAACGGCTTTTGGATGATGTGGATTGTGAGTCTACGTCTCCTGATCATCGCGCCCAAAGATACATTTGTCAACGAACAAGCGAGAATCACCAGCAGGTTTAACAATGAGTCATTGAGATTTCTTTTCCTATATCTGTTTGTAGCAACAAAGGTCCAACAACTACATCTGGCAAAAAATCGAAAATCTGTTTAGTTTCTTTGGAATCGGAGGATCACCAACCGCGCATAATGCAACGTCATCTACTACAAATGACTACGAGGATGAAGTTATCAAGAATGAAACTACAACTGTCAAGTTATCAACTGTGAAATTCAGTGATAGTGTAGAAGAAACTTCCAGTGAAGAAGAAGAATCTGTAGCCAAGACTTTAGCTGCACTTCCAAAAATTGAGGGATCTGGAGAATCGACAAGTTTGAAAGAACTACAGGAACCAGAAGGAAGTGGACAAATTGTTAATAAGAAGGCCATTGAAGCAGCAGACCTGGTTCCAGGAATGGATGAAAAGAAACTGGATAAAATGATTGACAAAATG